TTTTCTGCCCCGCACCGAATCGAGCTAAAGCGGGGTCCCCACCCTGCGGAGAGCAAACCTCCAACGCACCGAGTTCTGCCTGGGAAAGTCGTAAGGGGGGCCAGGGAAAGGGGAGTTTCAAGCTGCCATTGGTGAGCAGGAGGCCAGTGTAGTAATCTCATGTTGCCCCAGCGAGGCATCAGTGGGGCGGGGGCTGGATGTGCAAGGTGCTGGATGTGCCCATAATGAAAGAGACTGCCCCCGACCCATAGCGCGTACCGTGCTGGCCGGTTTGTGCCAGCGCTGTGCCCTTTACGAGCCCTTGTTACAACTTGGAAATACGTCGCTAATGACTTGAGCATCTGCATGCAGCAGAGCAACTGAATGAAACCTGGCAATTTAAAAATGTAAGTCCCGTCCCTTCTCCCTCCCCTCCAGCAGTCAGCCCCCCGTTTCCAAATGTCTAGGAGCAAGAGATGAGCGTTTTACGGTGCCATGTCTAAAGATGGCGTCAGCCTTGTGGGCAGCTCCATGTGAACAAAAAGCAATCTAGGGAACACTGGAATGTGTTTGTTGCCTTCCCTGCATTGTCTGCCCCATCCAGGCTCCCCCACAGAGAGCTGGGACTTCTGCACAGTTTAGGGGGGAGGGATAACTCAGTGATTTGAGCATTGGCCTGCTAAGCCCAGGGTTGCGAGTTCAGTCCGTTAGGGGGCCATGCAGGGATCTGGGGCAAAAATCTGTCCGGGATGGTGCTTGGTCCTGCTGTGCAGGCAGGGGACTGAACTCCATGACTTCTCAAGATCCCTTCCAGTTCTAGGAGAGAGGTACGTATCTCGTGACCATAGTTGAGAAGGGACCCCGTAATTCAGCCCTGGTTTAGTCCGACACTGGTCCGCCATCACTGCTGGATAGTTGCTGTTTCCTCTGCTTTGAAATGGAAGTCACAGAATTCTCGATAAACGGGACTGCCCAATGGCAGTGAGAAGCAGTTCCCTGCTAGCTGAGCATCCCAATGTCTCTCTGCTGTTGCCTTTCCAGGGACCAGGTCGTGGAGATGTTTGACCACGCGTATGGCAGCTACATGGTAAGAAGTATTTTATTTTGGTTCTGGCTCATGGTCTCTGCACAGAATGTTCTGTCTGTTTTTCTAATGCCACTTACCCAGCAGCCTTTCCTCCCACTACTTGGTCAGGTCACTTGCGCTGCTCTGCAGCTGCAGACAAAAATCCCGGAGTGTCGGGGCGTGACCACACAAGACCTCTTTGAATCACAAACGCTAGGGAAGCCACTCATGCCCCAACTCTGCTGCATTTCCTCTCCTCTTTGGGCGAGGCTGTGGCATTTAGCTACCACTCCAAGTTGGGTTGTGGTGCCGTTGCCCCAGCCAGCGTTCCCTGTAAGCTGTGTGCTTGGACAGCCACCCAGAAAAGAGTGAAATGCCACCCAGCTGATTACCAGAGCACCCACAGCTAGCAGCATGTGTTTTGGCTGGTGGTGCACATCTGCACATGCTTTGGTGCACATAATAAAGTGTATTACATACATAACAAATTAGAGGGGACATTGGTTCCAACTCTGAGCTGGGAGGGGCTGAGACTCTGTTACGGAGGAGGTTGGTTTGTGCATGGAAGGATGGATCAGACCCTGTGTCCCAGTCCCTAGGCTCTTGTATGAGGAATACAGGAGGCAGGGAAGCTGCTTGTATCCACCAAGCCCCCTCCCATGGCCATGCATTGTCTGTTTTTTTTCCCTGTTTCAGAAGACCACACTTGGCAAAAAGAGAGCTGCCTTCTCCATAAGAAATCTGCCTTCTTCCTTTCTGTTCTTTAAATGACGCTAAGGGTATGTCCACGTTACCAGTGCTGCAGTTGCCCGACTATAGCAGTGCAGTGTAGACACTTGCTACAGCAATGGAAGGGGTTTCTTCATCACTGTCGTAAATGTAGCCCCCGAGAGGCAGTAGCCAAGTTGCCAGAAGAATCCTTCCATCAACAAGCCTACCAGTGTCTGCGCTAGAGCTCGGGTTGGCTTGGGTGACTTTCCACACCCCTGAGCAATGTAACTAGGTCAACCTAAGTTTAAGATATAGATCAGATCTAAAACTCATCAAAGAAATTTGTACATGATAAAGGCCTTGGACAGCATTCAGGTGCTGGCTGGAATCCGCCCAGCGCTAGGAGGCTTGCACATGGAGGAGTGAAACTGCCTCATCTTACTCCCTTGGGCATAGAGTAGGGGTAGCAGATAATGGCAGTGGTCCATCTGAACAAAGGGGTCGCTTGAATACTGTGTGAGCTCTGACTGGTTAAGGCCAGACTGATTCTGGCCAAAATTCCCAGTGTCCTTCACCTAAATGACAGAATTTAAGGTGGCTGTCTTGACTGAGAACTGGAGCAATGGTCCAAGTTACAGTGGGAGAGGTCTAGTTGGATATTAGGGAAAAGCTATTTCCCTAGGAAGGTGGTGAAGCACTGGCATGGGTTACTTAGGGAAGTGGTGGAGTCTCCGTCCCTAGAGGTTTTTAAGTCCCAGCTTGACAAAGCCCTGGCTGGGTTGATTTAGTTGGGGTTGGTCCTGCTTTGGGCAGGGGGCTGGACTCGATGACTCCTGAGGTCTCTTCCAGCCCTAGGATTCTATGATTGCTTGGCAATAGACATGATATTTTCTTATGATGACTGCATGAGATAGTGGTCAGTCAGCATTAGGGATGTAAAATCCCATTTAATCAGTTAAACCTATTGTTTAGCTGGTTAGTTGCTTAACTGTGGGAGGAGGGCGGGGGGAGTCTCTGCCTGCAGTAGTCCCTAACAGATTGGAGCAGCCCTAGCTCAGCATGATGGATGTGTGCTATTCCTAGCTTTGCCACTGAAGAGAGCTACATCCGTCTGCATTCTGTAAAATGGAGCTAAGCGTTAAAGAGCAAATACTGAAATCCTCACACCCGCTTTGCACTCGCTCCTATCTTAGGCAAAATCCAATTGATGTGGAGTTCTGTCTGAGTGGGAGCTCCAGGCTTTCACTGAGTGTTTGCAAAGCCCCCAACATCCTTGGCGAAGTGCTTTAGATTGGCGGAGTGTCGGCACTCCCAGTGTTAGCGATCTAGATGAGTCCCGCACTGCTCTAAGCCGCTGTTTTCATGGCTTCACACGTCCTGGCTAGAGCTTGGCAAGGTGCGTGTGTAACTAGAGCAAACAGCCTAATGCAGGAGGCATTTCCTCTGCGACAGGAATGACCAGGGGCCTGCTTTACTTCCAGAGAGGCCCAATTTACCGTCTTGGGAGACTTTCCAAGTCCTAGATCTACTGTCAACAGAGTGAACACTTAGTGCCTGTTCCCCTCCCTTGTACAGAAACACGCATATCCTGCAGACGAGCTAATGCCTTTGAGTTGTCGGGGTCGAGTGCGTGGGATGGAGCCGAGTCGTGGGGATGTTGACGATGCCCTTGGCAAGTGAGTGTGCATGATGGCTCCCTCCGCGTCCTCCTCTTGAGCCATAGGCTGTGGAGCAGCCGTTAGCCCCAAGCATCCTCTGATAGCTTTTCTGCTGGGCATGGTTTTGTGGCTTTTCCTGGGTGTGCGTAGAACAATGCAGCCTAGCGGTTAGGACAGTAGATTGGGAATCTGGGCTTCTATTTCCAATTCAGACACTGGACACAGGGTAATGTGTCACCAGGAGCTAGTTACTTCACCACTCTGTGCCTCGGTATATCCAAATGTAAAACGAGGGTGATACTTACTCCTCATGGGAGCTTTGAGGCTTGAATCCATTAATATTTGAGAAGCACTTTGAGACATCTGCTGGAAGGCTCGTTAAGAGGGCAAGTGGAGGCACTATTTATAAAGTTATTCTCTGTAATTAAAGTGCATATCTTCCCTCTCCTGACCAAGAAGGGGACAGAATGAAAGCTGGCCAGGAAATGGTTTTATTCTTGCAAAAATTTATGAGGAATTGTTTTTCTGCAAAATACTTTTCATCAAAAAACAAAAACAACAAATGGTCTGGTAGCACTTTATAGACTAACAAAACATGTAGATGGTATAATGAGCTTTCATGGGCACAACCCACTTCTTCAGATGACCGGAGTTATGAGTTTAAGATGTCCAGACTTAAAACAAATAGGGGAGAAGAAAGGGGTTGGGGAGGGGGGAGGGGGACAAGAAGTAGAGGGTATGTAAATATCAAATGGCAAACAGGAAAAACTGGTAATCTATAAGCACCTAAAAAAGCTCATGATACCACCTATATGTTTTGTTAGTCTGTACAGGATAAACTTAAAAAACAACAAATAGTCTATAAAGTGCTACCAGACTAACTTTGCTACCCTCTGAAGCAGCAAAAAAAAAAAAAAAAAGATGATATTCCGTAATTGAAAATTTTCAGTGAAAACATGAAAAAAAAGTTGTTGAAATTGGCTCCTTGCTGCAGAACTTTGTGTTTTGGTTGCGGGGAAAAATCCACACCATTTCAGTGAAAAGGGAGGAAAAAAGTTAAGTGAAAATTGTTGACCTGCTCTATCTAGAAACATCACATGTCACGTTTTTAGAACTCTAGAGATGAATATTTATACATCTAATTTGCAAGCGCAAAGATCACTTTTACCCTTGCAGTGGCATGCACAGGTGGTTATGCATCCATTTGTGTGCTTAGTCACAGCAACTGCATGCAGAATGGCATGCGTTTTACAAGTGTTGGGTTTGGGGGGGGGGGGGTTTTTTTGAAAAAAAAAAAAAAAAAAATTGCCCTTTGGTGTTTCTCCTAACTTGTCCAATTCACTTTCCAAGGCTTAATCATCTGAATTTAAAATGTTTTCTTTTCAATCTGTAGGTTTTCCCTCACTCTGATTGACACTTTGGATACCCTTGTGGTAAGTCAGCAATCTGCTTCTCAGACCAGTTTATCAGGGTTTGGCAGATCTGTTGAGCTGGGTTTAGTCATGTCTGGCTTTACAAGCGTCTGTCAACAGCAAGATGGAATTCCTGGTGCAGAGGGGTTCTCTTTCGTTCTTGCGTATTGGACTCTATCCTCCCTTTGTTGTTTTTGCTTCTTTGCAAGTGAGCAAAAAATTGACCTTGAAGCTGTAGGGTTTCCTTCATGTTCATGATGGGCAAGCTTGAGGTTAAAGTACAATTCAAGTATACTTAGGAGTTGCTTGGGGCATTTTCTGTGGTTATTGGAGTGGAAGGACTTGTTTTAAATAGGACATGGGAGGAAGTATTGGCTAGTGGTTGGAGCACCGTCAAGTGTTCAGCGCACAGACAGGTTTGGCCCATGGGAGTTCATGTGAACTTTTTCTTTTTTTTTTTTCTTTTTTTTTTCCCCTCCCCTGGCCCACCCCGTCCTCCCTCCAACTCTGGCAGCTCATCTGAGTGCTAAACATACCAGTCATTGCTGCCCAAGCAATGACAAACAAAAGAAAGGACTATGCAGCACTTTAAAGACTAACAAGATGGGTTATTAGGTGATGAGCTTTTGTGGGCCAGACTTCCTCAGGAAGTGGGTCTGGCCCACAAAAGCTCATCACCTAATAACCCATCTTGTTAGTCTTTAAAGTGCTGCATAGTCCTTTCTTTTGTTTGTCATTGCTTGGGACGTTCAGCTGAACCCACTCCCAAGCTCTGGCCAGATCTTGGCTTATGCCAGGCGAAAGGCTTTGGAACTCCGAGGGCGAAACCTGCCCTAAACTTCAGCATTGGAATGAAATCCAGACCCACAGGATCAGCAAACCTTTATGCAGGTCTATCCAGAACTCTGGGGTTCTCATTCCAGTTTTGCCACTAACTGTCTAGCCTGGGCCAAGTCACTTTACCCCAGCTCCCACCACTGTGCTGGTTGTGCTTACTTCATGCTCCGGTCCTTAACTCAATTAACTTTTGTTTGTCTTTGAATCATTGCTTTGAGGTGGGGCTGGAGAGGAGGGGTTCAGGATGCAGGCTGACCCGGGGAGAGAGGACTATGTCAGTCCTCCCTCACTGCAGCAGCTTGCGGCAAGCTGAGATGCACCTCTTCATGGCCGATGCAGCTCCAGCCGGCACAGCCAGGGGAGGGGTGCATGGCCACCGGCTGGAGCCGATCCAGGTTCGTCTATCCCTCTGTGGTCCCCAGCCAGAGTGCTGTGCGCTTCCCCTGGCTCTATGATGAAGCAGAACAGCCAGGAATGTTCCCATTGAGGGGGAGGAGGAAGAGCTGCAGCCTCCACCCCCAAAGGGGACTTGAGGGGTGGGAGGCTCAGGGCTGGGGCAGCCCTCAGCCAGCCCTTTCACCTGCCTGGTGATTTTGTTTTATGAGAAGCAATCCCATTCCAGGCACAACTACACCCTTACTTTGGTTTAAGTTGTAAGAGGAAGCTGTATACCAAATTTGGTGGTCCTAGCTCTTGCTGTGTAGGAGGAGTTCCTGATCGAACAGATAGACTCGCGCATGGATGGACAAACTCTCTCAATTATATAGTAGATGTATTGCAGGGAGATAAAAGCAGTCTGTTTGAAAGCAGTGCAGTGAAAACCCTGGAGCCTTTCATTTTAGCATGCATGTGTCTTGCTTACAGAAGAGAATCTAATCAAAATGAAAAATGTCCTTGCTGGGACACTCTCGTCCAGTGGCTCGCATGATGGGGCCCTGATCTCAGCTGAGGCTTCTAGGTGCTACAGCCTAGATTCTTTGATTCTCCCCTCCCTCATTTCCATAATTTGTTAGTTTCCTTTATCCCCTTCTTTTTAATCTTAATGCATCTTCCTCTTAGTATTAATCTCCTGAGCGATGAACAGGAAAATGAACGCATGTTCATTCTGATAATTTTCTCTCCCAAGAGCCCCTTCTGGAGCCTAGATTCTATGTTGATTGATGTTTTAGTGATAAATTCAAGGCATGCTTTCCTTTCTCGGCTTCTGTCTATCTTCGGCGTCTTTCTCCCTTTAGTCTTGTTTCCTTAATCCTATTGTCTAGTCTTAATCCTGGATTTATTTAGCTGGCTTCATCTAGTCTTGTCCGTGCGTGTGTTTGTATTGGGGTAGGTTCTAGTCACCTCAGTCATGGATCAGAGCCCTGTTGTGCTTGGTGCTGTACAAATGCAGAACTGAAACATGGTCCCTGCCTCAAAGCAATTACAATCATCCGCCCTTCTTGTCCTTACTTTCCTGTGGCCAGCACTGTCCTTGTGGCTGTCCCGCCCCCAATATACCCGCTGGTATTGCTTGCCCCGAGCATTCAAAAATCATGAATCAGGTCCCATGAAATCATGAGACTTTAAAAGGAATCTATTATAAACTGTAGGTTCCTGTTCTTGGCCTTCTGTCTTTTAAGTGTGCAGTGTGTACCCAGGCCATGGCTTGAGGCTCTTCCCATGGGAGCTAGAAACTTGCCTTAGGGAAGCTGAGATGTGGGATCTGAGGCTATTTAAAACAAAAGAAAACAACAAAGGGCAAATATGGGGAGACTCACAATGAAATCATGTGTTGGCAGCCTGGGGACCACTCACATGCTTGTGTAAGACCAGCACCTGCTGGCACTGGAGATGTTGACCTTAGGTGCCCACACTGAGCTAGAGACCCAGAAAGCGCCTCTGAGCGGGAGGTTGGCCAGGTGGTCAGAGTTGCTAGCCTGGGACTTGGGAGACATAGGCTTATTTCCCTGCTCTGCCACAGACTGTCTGTGTGACCTTGGAAAAGTCACTTAGCCTCTTGGTGCTTCATTTCCCCAGGCACCACTGCCCTGCCCCACAAGGGTCTGAGAGATGGACACTGGTGCGTACGTGTGTGTGTGTACACACACCTAAGTACATAAAATAGCTAGATCTGCCGTGTTTAGGAAGGTCCCGCTCTCCCAGCAATGGGATGTCTAAGCAGATGATCTGGAATGTTACCAGCAGATTGCAGTTATGACTATCATTTATCTAGCACCCAGCAGTGTGCTAGGGGCTTTATGTGTAACCCACACACCTAGTGGGGTTCACTGCCCCATGGAGTGCCATTTAGACCACTTACAACGAGATATAAGAACAAGGGAGCTCTACAGACCATGCTGCGAGCCAGTTGGCTTTATAGCTCAAGCTGTAGAGGCTTCTACCCTAAGCTCCAGAGGGCCCAGGTTCAAATCCACTCAGTGGCAGTTAGGTACACTTCTCACAAGACCACCTTGCAGGCTCCATAGACAACATATAGTCAAAGCAGTGTTCCTTGCAAGCCAAGCGCTCGGGTGGCCACCCAGGAGAGATTCAGATACTGCCCAGCTGACTAACAAAGTGCCTACAGCCAGCAGCATGTTTCTTTTGGTGGTGCACAAATGCCTGTGTGCGCATGATAAAATTTATTCCACACATGGGTGGAAACAATTAGAGGGAACATTGAGCCAAAGGAGGGATTAGTCCTAGCAGAGGGGGAACTGTTGGATTGTTGTTGGAGGGGGCTGAGAAGAAGATGGGTTTGGAGGAGGATTGGGCAGAAGAGAGGGAGGCTGCATGGTGTGCTGTCTCAGGGCAGGTGTGCCAGGCGCAATGGGTGTGACAGCATTGCTGTGGGGGAGAGGGAACTGGAGCACAGGGCTTTGGGAGGTGGGTAGCCGGGAGGGGTCTGTGAGTAGGGCCTTGAGAACCAGGCAGGGCAGAGCCATCTGAAAGGGGACGTGCAGCGAGTGAGGAATCGTGTTGTTGACCCTGTGCCGCTGACCCGAGTCTCGTCTCTCCCGCGGCTCTCGCTGCCAGGTCCTTAACAAGCTGGATGAGTTCGAGGACGCAGTGCGGAAGGTGGTGCTGGATGTGCAGCTGGACAACGATGTGGTGGTCTCTGTCTTCGAAACCAACATTCGTGTGCTGGGGTGAGCCCCCGCGCGGGCGGGGCTGAGCCAGTGAGGCGTACTGCAAAGGCTGGGCATCCCCGTCGGTCTCCTTCCGCTGCCCGCCCAAGCACGTGCTGCCCAGCCAGTGGGTCTGGGATCTGTCAGATGTGCTGCCGCCTGGCTCTTGGGGGTGGCGTTGGAGGATGCAGAAGAGCTTGGGGGAGGGGGGCTGGCTGCTTGCTGGGTATGAACTGCACGGGGTTCCACGGGGCTGGACAGTGGGGGCATCCCCACAGGCTCTGGGTCCATGGCTCACCAGTGGGCCTTGGGGCTGGGTGCGGATGGGCCTAGTGGGGAAAGTGAGTCCTGAGCGCCTGAAATGGGCTGTCTGGGGTCTCAACTGGCAAGGTCCCTCTGAGCAGCCTGACCCCACCCTCCTCTGTCATGCAGGGGCCTGCTGGGGGGCCATGTCATGGCCGACATGCTGAAGGCACAAGGCGTGCGGCTGCAGTGGTACAAGGCCGAGCTCCTGCACCTGGCTCGGGATTTAGGATACCGTCTCTTGCCCGCTTTCAACACCACCAGCGGGCTGCCATACCCCAGGGTAAGGGCGTGGCAGGTCGGAGCCGGGATGGGGGAGGCTGCACATGAACTGGCAGAGACCAACCCAACAGCAGCAGTGAGGCCTGTGGGGTCTGGAGCCACGTGTGGGCCCGGGGGCTTCCCCAGAATGCCACCTGCCTCGGCAAGCCGCTTCGCTGACTCAGATGCCCAGCAGCACTGTGAGTGGGGGCGGGGCTGGCCCCTCTTGGCAGCCCCCCAGTCCCAGTGCAGCTGCGTGACTGAAAGGGGTTCAGAGCGCTCTCTCGACATGGCTCCGCACTTCCTGGGCTGTTGCTTCAGGTCTGAGGCAGCCCCGGAGACGGCTGCATCCTGCTGCAGGAGATAGAGCAGATTCCAGGTGGCTTATGGTGGGGAGAGGAGCACTTCCGGGTGGCTGTTCAAACCCTTCCGGCCCTGTGTAGCCGGTAGCTGATCTTCTTGACAATAGGGCACACGTGGCCCACTTTCTTGGCCAGAATACCCCTTTCTGTGCTGGGGTGCAATGTATCGCATGCCAGCTGCTTGCTACTCTCCACCCCAGAGGGGGCTGCATTTGGCAGATGCTTTGTAAAGCTCTGCAGGACAGAGTGCTGCATGACAGCAGAATAACCTCATTGCCGCACATGACAAGTCTGCGGGAAAACATAAGCAAGACACAAGAAGTCATTCTTCTGCTCTACTCTGCGCTGATTGGGCCTCCAATAGAGAACTGGGTCCGTTCTGAGCACCACATGTCAGGAAAGATGTGGTGAAATTGGAGAAGGTCCAGAGAAGAGCAACAAAAATGATGAAGGGTCTAGAAGACAGGACTTAAGAGGGAAGGCTGAGAGAACTGGGCTTGTTTAGTTTGGAAAAGAGAAGCTGAAAGAGGGCATGCTAACAGCTGTCAAGCACCTAAAAGGGTGTTACAAAGAGGAGGGAGAAAAATTATTCTTGATCTCTGAGGCCAGGCCACGAAGCACTGGGCTGAAACTGCAGCAAGGGAGGTTTAGGTTGGACACGAGGAAAAACTTCCTCCCTTTGAGGGTGATTAAACACTGGAGTAAATTGCCTGGGGTGGTTTTGGGATCTCCAGCATAGTCTAACCTGCTCTTAAAAATCTCCAAACGCCTGTCAGGGTTTCTCAACCAGCGATACGAGTACCCTCGGGGTACTCGAAGTCTGGGGGGGACGTCAACACAACTGAAATTTGAAGAAAGCTGAATGTTTGTTTTAAGTTTTTTGACAGGGCTTTATTATTTTTGTACTTTTTACACCCAAAAATGCCCGGCTACTATTAAGTTGTTTAAACAAATGTGTAGCAATGGTAGAAAAAAAAGTTGTCTGAAAACTGTAAGTACTGGGGGGCACTTCCTTTTTTTTTTTTTTTTTTTTTTTTTTTTTAATAAAGGGGGTATTGATAATGTTTTTGAAGGGGTACTTTATTAAAAAAAAAAAAAAAGTTGAGTAACGCTTATCTAGAAGGTGCTTTGTCCTGCCGTGAGGGCAGGGGACTGGACTTGATGCCCTCTCGAGGTCCCTTCTCGTTCTAGTGTTCTGTGAGTCTGTGGTGACTCCTAGTGAAACTGAGAGCATCTCTCCATCCAGGTGAACCTGAGGTATGGAGTCCTGAGTCCAAACTCCCGGACAGGCACCGAGTTGGACACCTGTACGGCCTGTGCCGGCACCATGATTTTGGAGTTTGCTGCCCTCAGTCGCATGACGCAAGAGACAGTTTTTGAGGTAGGTGGTTTGGAGGCTCAGTGGAAGAGCAGATGGTGACCTGAGGAGATCCTGTGTGTGGGGGAAAGGGGCTCTTTTCCCACAGTGCCTGTCCTGGGCTGCCCTGGTTCACTTGAACTTGCACAGAGATTGGGCCAATCCCCTGAATGCCAGGAGCCAGATACACACGGTCAACTCCTCCGGCTGCTTCTTAGCCATCCGTCCTTTGTGGACCAGGCTTGAGTCCCCGCTCTCCACTGGCCCGTTTCCTGCAGCCCCTGGAAGCCCACAGATCCCACACCATCTGCACTCACCCTAACAGGGCCTAGCGCAGCCTGTGCCATTGGCATGCCCACAGGATCCCTGCTGGCCCTCTCTACAGGCTAAATGGGTGAGGAATGAAAGGGGGCTGGTGAGCGATCCTGCAGAACCCTCCTCCCTTCCCCTGGTGACTAGAGAGCAAGAGAGGAAATTAGAGAGATTGTCGGGGAGGAACAGGTCGCTTCTGTAAGCCCAAACCCTCACTACTGGGATGGTCCTGATGATATTGGGACATCTGCTCCCCTTCCCCCTGCCCTGCTGGGATCTGGGGCACGCCCTGCCCGGTGCTGCTTGCTCCTGCAGGCAGCTGGAAGATGGAAAGTGCAGCCCTGTGCGGAGCTCGTCTGTGCTGCGCTCCCTAGTCGGCGAGCGCTCAGCAGGCTGCCCCAGAGCGCCAGGCAGGGCTTAGCAAATGAGTAAGCAGTAAGAGCGTATCGGGGTGGGGGATGAGTCCATTTTATGTCTCTGATGCCTGGAACCCAGGGCTGGGTTTCTTGTGGCAGCACCCGCTGGCTTGGGAAGCGTCTTGCCCCCATTTTACAGATGGGAAACCCGAGCTGCAAACCCCCCAGTTAGTGGCAGAGCCCAAAGGTCCCGAGTCCTCTTGTAGGGCTGCTCCCCTCTTCTGTCCCCGTGCTCTGCAGGGTGGGTCTGTTCAGTAAGGGCTGCTTAGGAGCCGTTACGGGGGCGTGACACGGAGACACTGCACGTTCTCTCCTGCCTCCGTTCTCAGGACACGGCTCGCAGAGCACTGGATGTCCTCTGGGAGAAGCGCCAGAAAGGGACCGACCTGGTGGGGACGGTCATCAACATCCACAGTGGGGACTGGGTCCGCAGGGGTAAGCGAACCGCAGGCTCAGTGCTGGGGGCTGGAAGGGTCAATGCTGGGAGTACCCAGGTCCAGAGCTGCGCCTGCTGGTCCCGCGCTGCCTGCGTGCTTTGTGGGCTGCGGGGTGGAGCTGTGCATTACTCCCCTTTGCTGGGGTGGGGGGAGCCAGATGACCCCTGGCAGTCCCAGCGCCTGGAGCTCCCTGCTGGGACACTGCTCAGCTGGCTCTGGGCAGGGCTGTTGGGCAGCGTGCGGAAGGTGGTGCCGCTCGCTCTGCCTGCTGCTGGGCCGTGGCCGGAGATCTGCCTTGCTGAGGGCGTGGCCGGCGCGGTCAGGCTGTGCCAGCGTGGGTTAGACCAAGGCACATGGGGCAGGAGAAGCCCGTGCAGGGGCGTTCGGGGTAAGCCCTGCACTCACTGCCGGCTGCGCCCGTTGCGTGTTCCCTAGACAGCGGGGTCGGCGCCGGCATAGACTCGTACTACGAGTACCTCATGAAGGCCTATATCCTGCTGGGCGACGACACCTACCTAGAGAGGTTCAACGCTGTGAGTACCCAGGGCAGCCCCTCTGGCTGATCAGGGCTCCCTCTGCCATCTGAGAACTCCCCGGGAAGGGGCGGGGCCAGCTGGAGCCCACCAATGAAAGGCCAGGCCGCCTGTCTGCTGCCGTTTCCTTGCATGGGCGCGGCTCCTGTCCCAGCAGGCTCAGCGAATCTGATTTGCTTCTCCGTCATGAAGCAAGAGCAAGTCCTGCACGGGGCGGCCGGCCGGGTAGTCAGGAGCCTGCAGGCCAACCTGGCATCGCCTAGCTCATCTGGGCGGGGTGGGAAACATTGCTCCTTTGCCACAAACACGCTGCCATGTTCTTTCCAGCAAGAGCCATTGCGGAGCCTCTCCCCCCCCTCATTGATGGGCTGGGGAGCTCGGCCTCCGTTCTGAGGAGGGATGGGGAGGCTTGTGGCGCCTCTCCTTGGTTAGTGCGCTAGCCAGCAGCCTGCTTGCTCACACGGCCGTGGGGTGGACGTGACCCAGAGTTGTGAGCACGGAAGAGACGTGTCCCGTGACGGACGCACTTCGGCACGTGCGACAGAGCTGAGACCGGGCGCAACTCTAACTTTGCCAGTCCCTGATCCCTAAGTGCCGCCCTGGGGAGCCCTCCCGTTGAGTTGTAAATTCTTACACCCTCCCTGCTCTGCTGCTCCTGTGTCTTGCTGGTTTGAGAGCCCTTCCCTGCTGGTTGGATAAGAGCTGGTGTCTTTCTCTCTCCAGCATTACGTGGCCATAATGAAATACATCAGCCAGCCTCCCCTGCTGCTCAATGTCCACATGCACAACCCCACCGTCAGCATCCGGAGCTGGATGGACTCCCTCCTGGCCTTCTTCCCTGGCCTTCAGGTACAGCAGCGGCCCTGGGCAAGAGGGACTTGGCCGTGCCGGGGCTCTGCCAAACAGACACTTCTCTTGGGTTTCACGGAGCTGTGCTCAGAGGCCGCCTGGCTGTCCCTTATTTGCCTGGCACAGCCAAGGGGCAGGTCGGTGCCATCGCTCAATTGCGATATGTCAAATTAACCGACTGTTCTGCTCTTCAGCAATTGTGAGTCCTTTAGCTGATATTTCCCGAGTCAGCGTTTGTGCTTTGGTTCATATCTGGCCTGTGATCCTAGCATATGAGTGCTTCATAGTCTTTAATGTATTTAGCCTGTGATACCCCAGGGAGCCGAGCATTGCTAGGATCTCCAGTGCATAGAGGGGAAACCGAGGCACAGCAAAGCTAAGTGACTTTCCCAGGGTTGCCCAAGAAGTCAGTGGCACAGTCAGGAATTCAACCTACGTCTCTTGGGGGGGCAGGCTTTTGCCCTAACCACTCCTCCTTCTCTCCAGGCTTTTGTGTCCATACAAAAGCTGGTTTGGGGGTTTCAGGAAGCATGTGCTGCAAGGTGACCTGTTTCCCAATGTCCGCCTGTCAGACACTCTGTCCTGGGCTGATCTGCTCAGCCTGGCTCAGCACTGGCCCCAGGGGTACAACCCAAGGTGAATCAGGGCCACGGGTCCAGGAGGAAATAGGCTGTGGGCAGCGTGGTGGTGGCTGAAGCTAAAATACCCCCCCTCCTTCCTTCTGCCGGCTTTGGCTGGGAGGGGACAGCGGGCACATTGTGGTTGATGTGGGAGGGCTATAACCTACATGTGCAACGAGTTGGTGGGGGCTCAACCTATGGCACTGTCTGCATGGCCCAGCCCGCCCTCCATGTAGCTGGCATTAATTAGCCTTCTCCCTGGGTTGGCCTCTGAGTGGCAGCATTGACACCGAAGTCCGAAAGAGACTAGTCTGGCGTCCGTTGCACCATTATCCCACATCTCCTCCTCGCTGCTGTCCCAGTGGTCGCTGCGATGGGCCAGGAGCATTTCTAATGCCCCGCAGTTGCCCCTGGGCCATTTGTATCCCCCTGTGGTGCCCCAGGGAAACAGGCTTGTCTGTCCCCAGGTGCTGAGGGGGGATTTGAAGCCGGCCATCGAGACGCACGAGATGCTGTACCAGGTCACCAAGCAACACAAATTCCTCCCGGAGGTGAGTGGACGAGCCAGTCGCAGCGCTCCCATTGGTCTCTGGGCACTGCCCACCAGCCGCTGCGACAGGGAAACCTTCCTCCCTCCCTCGCCGCGGGGGCGTTCGTCAGCCTCCCGTGTTCTCGCCCTTGTGCCAGGCGCAGGGTTCTTCCTGCTGCCGAGTGGCCCCGGCACCGGCCCGCCGAGCAGGGGCTGGATTGTGAGCCCTCAGGACATGCCCAGCCGGGGCCGGTCGAACCGTGGCCTGCGTTCCCTTGTTGCTTCCAAGGACGTGGTTCGGGGCTTGGTTCAGTGCCTCTCGAAGTCGATAGACTCCCATTTACGTCCGTGGGCTTTTTAGATGAGGAAAGGGTCCCGGGGATTGCTGCTTTACCCCTTTATATGGTCTTTACAGCCATGCGGGAACTGCTGTCCCTTCTGCAGGGGTTGAAATGCCCGAGGCCTCCTTAGCTGCCCAAGCAAAATGCCCTCCAGCCTTTCACGCTCTTCTCCCAGCTCTGCACCTCGCTAGCTCTCCAGGGCTGGACCCAAAGCCTGGGGAAGTCGATAGGAAATTCTCACTGATTCCAGTGGCTTTGGATCCGGCCCCCAGTGGGCAGTGTCTGAACGAAGGACGTAAGCGACTATTCGAGTAGGAAGCTGAGGCTTATGGGGTAGTCGAGTCAGTACTCGAATACTTGCCCCCCCGCCTCCTCTTTGATCAGAGGCAGCAAGGGAGGGGAGCAGAAGCCGTTGCTGGGGGGAGCTGGCTTAAAAGCCATTCCCCATCGGCACTGTCTGCAATGCATGGAAGGGCGCAGGGCAGGCAGAGCCATGGCGGTCCCGGAGCTGGCGCGAGCCAGGGCTGCTGAGTTCCAGCTCACGCTGGCTCTGGGAGCCACCTGGGCTGCAGCTCTGCCTTTTAAATGTAATAAGCGCCACCTGGCTTTACTACATTTAAAAAGCAGAGTCGCAGCAGTCCCGGAGCCGGCGTGAGCCAGGACTGCTGAGTTCCAGCTTGTGCTGTGTCCCCCGCTGCAGCTCTGCCTTTTAAATATAGGAAGAGTCACGTGGGGAACCTACCCCGAACCTATCCCTGCTGCGATTCTGCGGTTTAAATGTAGTAGGAGCCAGACTGCCTGCGCGCCCGGCTCCTACTGCATTTAAACTGCAGAGCCGCAGCTTATTGACTAAATTGTGCAGTTGATACACGTTGTACTGAGTACGCGATTAGTCAGTTACCCGCTTCTTAACATCCTTAGTCTGAACGTGCTTGTCTGTGTGGACCTGCTCCAGCACACTGACGGGTGTGGTGCTTTGGCAGATTGCTGTTCCAAACACAATCGTGGGGCACTGTTTGTGTGTGGGAGTCGGGCCCCTGTAGCCATTTAGGGTCATCTACGCTGCACCGTTATTTCGAGATAACTATGCGAGCATCTACACAGCCATCCCGTTACCGCAAAATCATTTAAAAATAACAGGCATCTTACTCCGAAATCTGTAAACCTCATTCTACGAGGAACAACGCCTATTCCGAAATAACTATTTCAAAATAAGGCGTGTGTAGACGCTCCATGGCTGCTGTGTCGAAATAGCCCCTCACCAGGGCCCTTCTAAGTTATTCCTCTCCAGTGCCTCCTGGGACTCTCAATCGGGGTAGTGCGTCCACATGAGGGAAGCCGGCCTCAGACTAATTTTGAGGCTTCCATCCAGCGTAGACGTGCTATTTCGAAATAAACTCTTTTGGAATAACTGTTCTGGAATAGCTTATTTTGAAATAGCCGTGCAATGTAGACGTACCCTTAGTGCCTGGCAAGCTAGAGTGCTGTACGCTTGCATCCTGACCCGCTACGCACTCAGTCTGCAAATCGACAAGCCCTTCGTGTGTGCGTGGTGAAAGTGGCAGCTCGTATCTTAGTGCGTGCGCTCTCTCTCTCTCTCTCTCTCTCTCTTTCTCTCCCCCTCCCTTCATGAAAGGCGTTCACATCTGACTTTGCCGTGTATTGGGCCCAGCATCCTCTGCGGCCGGAGTTTGCCGAGAGCACCTACTTCCTGTACAAGGTAAGTCCTGTCCCGTGTCTTGGCTGGAAAAACCAAGCAGCTGAACGCAAGTGGACGTGTGTAACCCCTAGAAGGTCTCAGCAGAGCTTTATCAGAGTGTCGTTGCTCCCAGCAAACGCCGGAGCTGGTGGAGAGAAGAGCCTGTGGCGGATCGGCGGCTTGCTCGTGTTGCAGGCTGACTTTCGAAGGCGTGGGCGAGTGAGAGTTGGTCTGAGCGTTCCTCGTGGCGCTTAGTTCCTTTCCCAGTGGGGTGGCAATGCAGAACTGACCCAGCGGAGAGAGACTTGTCAGGGCCAGCTGTGAATGAGCCGCCGTCCCCCTTGGACTTGGCTGTGCTGGAAGAGTGGCTTGGTGGCAGGCTGAATTGCAATGGTTTTCTCTCCCAGGCTACCCGGGACCCCTACTACCTCCAGGTGGGCAAGTCCATTGTAGAGAGCCTGAATGCCTATGCTCGGGTGGCCTGCGGCTTTGCGGCGGTGCAGGATGTACGGACGGGCCGACATGAGGATAGGTGAGTTGTACCAGAGTAAATGGTTGTGTAGACAAGGCCTTAGAATGGACCAGTAAACTCCGGGCTCAGCGGTAAAGCCACCCAGCACAGGAGCAGCCTCCAGACTCCTGGTGGGAAGTCCAGGATCTCCGGCCTGTCCTGAACCGTGCGGTGCTGTGTGTGCGAGACCCGCTGGACTCTCCCCAGCAGCCTGCAGAGGGGTGGTTAGAGCCATTTCCAGAGCACAGCCGGAACAGAACGGCCTTGCCCCATGGCGGTGTTGCTCTGAATATGCCTTGACAAGGTTCATCTGGAGTCTCTTGCCTATCTGAGGAGCCTCGCTCGCCTCCATCCCCCTCTTACCACCTTTCCACGAGGCTCCCCCCTTCACTGAGCGTGGCATTTCTAGAGCTGTTGGCTTACACAGCACTTCGCTGGCACACAGAGGTGGCCTGTTAGCTTACAGAGCCCCCAGCCTAAATCTAACAGCTGACCCCAGAAGCCAAGAGAAAGGAGGGACAAAGGTAGCACACGGGCCCGACTCTCCTGGAATGAAGTCCTCAGAGCCACGTTGGCTCGGGAGGAAACCTAGTCCCCGTGTGTGCGCTCTGTCGCGGGAGTAGGAATGCGCTCTCCCAGCGGCCTTGCTGCAGGAAGTGGAAGAGAGTGTTTCAGTGGCAGCTATGTGGGCCTCGCAGGCAGGAGGCCTCTGAAGTTGCTGCTTTTGGCCATCTCAGGACAGGTAAAGCCGAGAGGAAGGACGCGATTCCCTGGAGACTTTTAGGGATGTGGCTAAATCTTTGCAGACTTCTCGGTTTTTGCGGCCGCGTTCTCAGTGGGCCTGGCCTCATGCCTGTCTCTGTTTGCCCTGCAGGATGGACTCCTTCTTCCTGGCTGAGATGTTTAAGTACCTCTACTTGCTTTTCACGGAGAAGCGGGATCTGCCGCTGGACATTGACGATTACATCTTCACCACCGAGGCCCACCTGCTGCCCCTCTCGCTCTCCACTGCCCGGCCCCCCTGCCCTAGGAACGTGACTGTACGTCAGCTGTAGGCTTTCTTAAGGGTGCCCGGGGCATGGTTAGCTTCAGGTTGCATCTCTGACTTCCATGGCAGTTTTCAGAGGAGGAGCATGGCTGGTAATTTTCCAAGGTTAAAACCCTATTGGTCACAGCCTGAGAAGGAATTTCCAATGGGAGCAGGCTCCTGAATCCCTTAGGCAGCTCACTGAGGGATCTGGCTTTATTTGTAAAAGTCTGTCAGCGTTGCTGTGAAATGTCGGGGCGGGGGTGACGGGTGAATGTCGAACACGCATGCGCACGCGCGCCAGTGTGTATGTGAGGGCGCACAGAGGGACACGGCCGCTGAACTCTGCTCAGCAGGACTCAGTGCTGGGCCACGCATGCTGGAGCCGTTCTCCCTGTCCCACGGGAGGGGGAAGGACTTGGTCGAGGTTACCCTGCAAACCAGCAGCAGGGCAGGGACTAGAACCCAGAGCTCTTTGGTCCCGGAAGGCCGTGCCGCCCTCCACAGCAAACTGCTGGGGGATCTGTGCAGCTTGGGCCGAACCGCCAGGCTCTGCAGCTGGGCCTCTAAGAGTCTCGCAGTCTGTGTGAATGGGGCGCAGTGGGGACATGACACCTGCTGACCAGCGAGTCCCAGGAGCCTCTGACCTGCCTGAGCACAGCTGATGTGCTGGGGCTTGGCGTGTCCACAGGCTACCCCTGCTGACCTTCCAGCACCCCCCGGAGTAAAATGGCCCCCGCACACGTAACTCCAGTCTCCTGAGTGAGGCTGTCTCCGGGGTCTGCTTGTTTGGCACCAGGCCTGCTGCGGAGCGGAGCAGAGCGCCTGTGCTGCCAGCCCTGGCGTGGACGGGGCCTGTTGCTGCAGCCAGGCTCTGGCTCATGGCAGCTTTTCAGAAGGAGGCCTTGCCACTGTCGCCGGGGAGGCTGAGCTGGGCTGAGCGGCTCTGCTCCCTCGCTGGGCGCTGGAGGGTCAGGGCTGGTCACACAAACCCAGGGGGCTGCGCATGGTGGCGGACGTTGATCCTCGTCTCTCTCTGCAGATGTTTCCCAGGGGCCATGGAGAGGAGGGGATTTTTACCCGTTCTTGCCCCAGCGCACAGACTCTCTTCCCCAATAATCCCACCTTCACCCGCACCATCCGGGACGCCCACAAGCAGCTTCTGCAGCCGGGCGCCGAGCGTCTGGCGCTCTTCAGGTGAGTGGCAGCCCTGGGACGGCCTGCGTGCTTCTGCCAGAGCAGAGATCCCGGGCCAGAAGGGACCATTGGGGCCATCCTGTCTGACCTGCACCGCATAGGTCCTTGGACGTCCCCCTACAAATCCCGGCTTCAAGGCCAGGCGCGGTGTTGGAACGAGGCCAGGGCTTCGGACACACCTGATTGCGATTTAAAACGCAGAGCTGGAGAGTCCACCCGCGCTGGGCACTGGGGCCCGCTGGCTAATCACACGCACTGTTAACAACTTGCCCCCATATCTAGCCTGAATTTGTCTAGTTTCACCCTGCAGGGGCTGGATCTTGTCTGGGCTTGGGCCGGGGGGCGTCGCTGTCAGCCTGACTCTGGCTGCTCCTTGTCTCCTGCAGGGGGATTGAGTTCCCGCTCCACGACACCAGGCTGGAGCCCTTGGAGATCCTGAAGAGCATGGGGCTGACCCTGCTCCCGCTGGGCGACAGGAGCGTGCAGCTGACTGGCCTCCGACACAGGGTGAGTGCTGAGCGCACCGTGCTCTGCCCACTGCTGGGCACCGCGGAAGTCCAGGGTGAGGGTTCCTGGCCAGGTTCCAACCAGCTCCAGTCACCTCACCGGGAAAACTGCAGCTGATCTTCCAGGACTAAGCATTTCCTCCACGTGGGTGTGGGCAGCCAGAGGCTCGGCCTTGCTGGGGCAGCTAACGAGACCTTGCCCCAAGATCACCTCCTACACCTGAGTGTCTGTCTTTAAGCAATGGCCTTCAAGGATCCTCCTTGTCTGTCCTGGGAACATCTAAAGCAGGGGTGGGTGCAGCCCCTGGCTTGCCTGGATCCAGCCCCTGACGCTCAGGGCCTCCCTCCTATCACTGGGGAGCCTGCGCTCGTGCTCCAGCCCCCCCACTGCCTCAC